GAACGTTGAACACCGACTTTATGATACCACACACACTCACACGCACATTTGCTACGTAAGATTCTTCACTTAGAACTGATGTAAAAAAGCGCCTCTGTTTAATGCATATATCTTCCAATCGATTCAATCAATGAAAATGGATCTAATACGCGTACATATGCAGGCGGATTGCTACAAGAAGCCAAAGGAACTAAAAAATCGACATTTCAAAAGCAATACGAATAATAGACGAAGCCGTAGCCATCAACAGTCATAGAGCACATGTTATGGAACTTAAGTCTTAAATCATAAAACATGATCGCGTGTCAGTCTTCCTTGATATGTGGCTGGAAACAAGCTTACACCATCCAATACCGAAATTAAGTCCTCGAACGGTCCTCAAAAACCTGCGCAAACTTTAGAAGACATATTAACCTTAAGGCCTAATGCTTTCATAGACATTTTAAAACTATGTAGTAAATCCGTTAACTGCGTAGTAATTCAGTTTCCAAATAACTAAATATGTTTGCGGAAATGGGAGTTTTTGTTAATGTGACCTTAGACATGTCCGTGTCGATATCTGTAATGTATAGGCTGAAAATGGTTTCATATTTTGGAACTATATTCTAATAATTTTAATTTTATTTTCAACGACTAACGGCATCAGTGAATGTTCATTTATTGCGATGACACGCGCGCGTTTATTAATTATTATGTTTGTAGATACAACGACGTGGACGCTTTCACGTGTCCAAGTGTGTGGGTGGGTGTGGATAGTATAAACGAAGCCTTATAAAAGATTGATCTACGCTACGGTTACCGTTGTCACGAATCATTTTAGAATTGAAAGCATGGTAAAGCGGAGCAACTATAATGTTCGCCATACGTTTTTCATTAACTTTATTAAAAGATGAACATTTCATGATAGGTAATCAGTCATGATATTGCAACAGAGAATCAGAGTTTCCTTTGTATTGCAGCGAAAAACAGAATTTCAGTTCAAATTATTGTACCTTTAAGCATTTAGCGATAAATTACAAAAATTTCCACTAATACCTGGAAATACATATAAAAATTCAAATGCTATGAATTCTCGATCACATATATTATTTCTGTTAATTTAGAAATATACACACATCATGCCAGTTTTATTCATCATTAGCATCATCATCATCGCCGCAAAAATAATGATGGAATTCTAAAAATCCTAAAATTCTGCATATATGTCTGTACATTTAATTTTTAATGTCTATACATATCTGAAACTGCTTTATATCCCTCATCTGAAATTTACCAAATGAATAAAAAATTCCAAACAGTTTGTCACTCTTTGTCTTTTTATCTTTTCATGTTGTTTAACAAATCTTCCGGTACTAGCGACACGGGAACCTTAAATCGTTAATTCGGTGATTGGTCGGACTTTTACCGCGGCAAAGCCATTTCACATTTTCATATCGATCACCGCATGATAAAGTGTATATTCATTTTGTCAAAACGTTGACAATATTTAGAAAAAGTCTTTACAGACTCCTAAAAGTGTACGTACTTTCGGCCGAAACGGTGGACGGACACGCCCGCAGCCCCACCTAAACCGAAAACAACTTTTTTTTTCTTCAAAAGGAATAAAAAATTGGCTTTTCTCGTTACTCAGAAACTATAGCAGATAAATGTGCAAAAATTTAAAAGTATATGCTATGGACGATGCTGTAGCACTTGCACAAAAAATAAAAAACTCTCCCGAAGCGACTTGCACTTTTCAAAGGAGACGTCTACAGCGCTCACAGGCCTGTACGACCAAAAACTTTGAAAATAGAAAAAGTCAGCCGCGCCCACTGCATATTATAAAGCATGGAATTTAGTTATTTCACTTTTTTTCGTCTTTTTTTTTTAGGACAACGGTGATGGATATAAAAGATTCGGTTACTATCGTATATAACTTTCTTAATTGCTTATTTTTTTGGAGAGTCCTTCATCCGAACCAGCCGGTGATAAGCCACTAGTGGTGGCTAGGTTGAAGTTAGGGATAGTACTGCGAGAAATCTTCTCAATTCTTTTTTACTAAGATTACCTTTACCGTATTTCGAACCTATCTCAATACTCAGCCTATAAATTTCAACTCTGGCTTCATAATAATAACATAGGGCTTTTTTTTTTGTGTAAATATTGATTTAAGAAAAAGCATCGTCGCTTTTGGTACGAAATTTTTCTAATTTTCAAAAAAGTACCTGTCATGAAAAGTCTTTAAGTTTAGGGTAAATTATTTATAAAAATCCTACACGTTTCTCTAGAGGACGTTATTAAAGAGCTGCAGTCAGTTTCAAGCCAATCGATTGAGAATTGATGTACATTAACAGCGAAATCAACTTTCGAAAACTACGCTTTTCAGTCCGCAGGCTTATCGGGTAACTCCGAAATAGCGCGATTAAAATTTAAAGTAGTGGTAACCTCGCTCGAAATAACCCACTTTTCAAGCAACATGTAGAATGTCCAAAAAGTAAGACTAGCTCAATTTTTTCTCTCTAAATCTATTTATTATTGTGAATGGGTTTCATCGCCTTCATAGTAATTCTCAAACTCAAATAGTATTCCTTGTTAAGGGTTCGGCCCGTTGAAAAGGAATTAGGCTGCACAACACTACGATAATCCAAAAAAATCAACTCCGACGCGGTTTTTTCGGTCTTGGCTCACCTTTTGGCCAACATTCTCTCGATTGATCGGTGGTTTCCAAATCATTTGAGTATTTTTCACGTATCAAGTAAAAACGCACAAAGCGCAACCGAAGCACTAATGACCTTTAGAATGTAAAATTTGCCACAACTGTTTGCAGCAGAAAAAGTGTTTCTGATATCCGATATTCGCGTGCAATTCAACTTTATGGTCACAATATTATGTTAAGTAATTCGCGTCGCTACAACGCATTTCAGGTAGCATTCCTTACGTGCTATTAACAACAAAAAAAGAACTTAATCGGCCAGAATAAGTTCGGAAAAAATCGGTTTAAAGTCGCCGTGCTAAAGTTATGTAAAACTTAAAAAAAAAAAAGGAGCGAATAAGCAAAGAAGACACCGATATTGAAATTGAGGGTAAGTCATGTTTTTCTGATGGATTTTAAAAGTTTTTATTTCGTGTTTATACTTTTATCTCTAATACGTTCGGTTCCCTTGTGGAAAAAATCGGGGTAACGTATGAAAAGTATACGCTTTGAAGAGATCCTCTAGAGGTTGATGACAGTTCTCAAGTGATCTCTTTAAAGCAAATCATTTGATGATAGCCGTAAAGTGATCATTTTAAATCAGAATCTGTCTTGCGAGGTGTATGAAGACCGATCCAGCCGATCCATCCTCGGAAAAAGTGGGCATATTAAGCAATTTAAAATTCATTTATTGTTAACAAGTACAATGTTCTGCGCGAGCTTCACTTTGCTTTTGTGTCTAATTAAAATTCTATAAATGCTTTTACTTGCATTCCGCATAGCACAATTTTTTCTAAAAGCTTTTATTATATCCCAAAAATTCCAACTAATGAGAATTCCTATAAATTATATTACATAAGTATTGTATGCAAAAATTGTACAATTTCTTAGTAAAACAGCTATATATACCTGATATGTGAGCTATACACAAATGAATGCCTAAAGAAAAGGAAAATTCTTGAAGCTACACTAGTTCAATAAAAAGAAATGCTTTCGGTGTGAATCTATGATTGTTCGCATCAAAGTAAATTGATTCGATCGCATTTATAGAAAAAATATAAAGAAGAATTTTTAATATTTGCTATGTCATATTATAAATGCTTTATAAAGTCAATGCAAACACACACACACTCTTTATGTCGAATTTTTATAAAGAGCTACAAAAAAAAAAGGAAATGAAATTTCCTTTATATATTTTATTTATTTTACAAATAAAATATGTCTATCGATGACGACATAAATGTTTACTCGTGTCTTTGCCAGTCTGCCTTGGAGTTACTAAATTTGTAAAATTTAATAAACAAAATAAGAAATGTTTGCCTTAGAATGTAACTTACAGTCAGTCCGCGTTCACCTGATAGCCTTTGTAAACTCTAGGTATCAGTGGGTGAATCGTAATTATTTTTGTCCAGAATTTTTAGCCTGCAACTATGCAAACAATATTTAAGTGGTTTAAATCGCTTATAAATTGATCAAAAAATATGGAAAATTTTTAGATTGACGCGTTGAACACCTCTGATAGAAATCAAAAACGATCAATATGGTACGTATCTGGAAAGGTACAGAAGGTTGTGTGACATCTGGTCGTCTTAACGGAATCTGAGAAATTCAAAAAATAAATTCTTCTTCATAATAAAGAATGACTATCACTATCAAGAAGTACGTGAAAGTAAAAGAGATTATCTATATACTGTGATAAAATTCGCTCTTGTAAGATACAGCCCGTGTCACTAGACCGTGGATATATTGTTCAAGAGAAATACACTTCAAAGTTCTTTTATTTACAATTACATTCCTTCATAGTAGGAGTATTTGTTTACAATTATATTCCTTAAATGTTTTCATCGGCCTGCAGCTGCATGACGGGCCTACGTATGTGCATTTAGGGAAAATTACTTAGCTGGAATTAACTGGATTTGGGATTTTCGTAACAATATATATGCTTGCCTTTGATATTTCCGTTTGCAAGTCCTTTAATGTGTCGCGCAATCATTGGGGCGACTTCTTCTGCTTTCTAATACAAACCTTTACGACCTTTGCAAGAATTCGTGATTCATCACGCACACTCCTTTCGATACCGTAACAGTATGCACTTTGGCTTTTCATAATTCTTAAAGTGAAAATGACACTAAGGGAAGCTTGTTCTTCAACCAATGGCTGATTTATTGAGAATGACGAGACTTCAATATAATTATATTATATATAGATAATAAATATTAAATAGTTTTTAAAAAATTTCAAAAATTCTCATTATATTTTGATCAACACATATGAACAAAAAACTTTTATTGAAAAAAAATGTTCATTCTTAAGCCTAAACTTAGGATATATATATATATATATGAATATTCATGTCAGAGCACTTTCAAATCTTATCGTTTTTCAAAACAAAAATTTAATTTTTAATTCAATTAACACACGAGTGAAAAACATGAAGACTTCCCTGCTTTATTGAAATGCAAATGCAAATGTTGAATGTAGTGGAATGAATGCTATGTTGAAAATGTTAATAATCGAATTGAGAAACGATACTCAATGGCCCTAACATCTTAACAAATTAAAGCACTTTTCGATTAAATATTATTATTATTTAATTCATTTAATTTTAAAATCATTTTTGGCACATTTCGCTTACTTCCAGTAGAATAAATGTGAGCTGCGAACATCGAAACTATAAAAACGTAATAGCATGTAATCTTGCCACTTGGTAGGCAATAATCTGTTCAAAAAAAAAAATAAAATGAAAAGAAGAAAAAACCATAATGAAAACAAAACAGAAAAGCCAACCGCTTATGAAGAAAAAAAAAAAGAAAAAAAAAAAGAAAGAAAAGCAAAAAACAAAACGATGCATAGAAACAGTCAACATGTAACATTATCTTGTTGTTGCTACTGTAATGTTTTTATTTGTTGTTGTTTTATAATTCAATTAAGTCCTTCTACCTTTTATTTTTTTGCTTCTTTCTTGATAAACACACATTGAAAATTTTGCAATGTCCGTATATTGAGGCACAACACAAGGGAGTAAACATTACATTGTTGTCTGCGTTTGAATGCATCGAAAATAAGCAGAGTGACACTTGTGTAGTGTACAATAGTAGATCACATATATGTGTATGTTTGTTTATTTGTTAATATATGAAAGCATTTACCTGAGTAACCAGACACTTAAGGCAAATATTTTTGGCACGTACACCATACGCTCATTGAGCAGCATGCCACGGACAATTTTTTCTGAAACATATGTTGTAGGTAAGCCAGGATAACTACTCGAAATTCTATAACACCACAGACAATGCACGTGCGCCACGCAATTACAGCAGCATAGTATATAAGAAGGAATAAAAAAACGTAAAAAGAAAAAAAACAAAACATGAAAATTACAAAATGCAAAAAGACAAAAAGACGAGAACGAGATAACAAGTAAGAAAGTTGCATTCGCTTTAAAGCGAATATCGTGCAGGCTATCAAACTGTGCAAACTATATTGCTTCTAAGTACGTTTTATTATGAAAAGCAGTCAGAAGGAGTAGTTTTGAAGATCTACTATCCAATAATTATTCATTCCAAGGCTACTATTACTCGAAATACTATTCGAAAAAAATGATGCAATTTTAATGAACTGCGGAGAAATTAATGTAGAGAGTAAGGAGATGATGTAGTCAAGTGATTACTCGAAATCAGGAAGGAGGAGATCGATTGCCTGGTACAAGACCACCTATGCCTCTTGTAAGTCGTGAAAAAGTATCAGAACTCGCCTTCGAAATGGCTATTGTTATATTAACATTTACTTGGGAGTCTCCAAAAGTTTGTTAAATAATGCTGAACTTAAGTTGGGCTTGATTCAGATTTTAGCACATAACTACTAGATGTGCTTTGAACGTTATTCATAAAATTGCCAGGATTGTGAAAATTTCGTCAAAGAATACTACAAATTTTAATAAGTGATTTAAGTTTAGTTCACGGATAAAATTCCCGGTTAACTCGACTTATTTCTGCTTAAACGAATATGAGATAAGAAATTGTGAAAGTTATATCTTCTAACAGGCCTCAATAGTTTTCTCAACGCTGTCACGCTTTACTGTAACTCGGAATATCTAATTCATTGTTCTCGCCTGTAAGCGCACCCAAAAACTTAATATTAGATATAATATCATATAAGATATAAAATATCAAATAATTTCTTACTGATTTCATGACAGCTTCGTTGTTTATTCTTAAGTGTTACAAATGGAATAACTTGTTTAATCTAAGCTTATTTTTGGTGTAATGAGTAAGAAAAAAAGTTCACAGATTGTCAGTAATAAAAATCATTAACAAATCAATTACGATGACTTTGCTGTAAGTCGATGTAATTTTCATAAAGAGTACGCGTGCGTATGTGTGTGTGTGTGTGTGTGCGGACGTGAGTGCGTGTTTTCATAACAATTTTATCCAGAAGGAAATGCATTTTTTAAAACACTAACCCAGCGTCGCTGAGTAAATGTAAATCGCCACTTGTCCTCATCATGTACGTGTTGGCCACCGTAGTGCGAACGTAATCACAATCAGAGAGACGCAGTTCGCTTCTTAACGCTTCCATAAACCCCATAATTCCATATTTTGTTGCAGAATAAATTCCAGCTCCCGGTAAAGGCACAAGACCTAGAAAGTAAATTGATAAATTGATATAAAATGCGAGATATAATGCGAAAATAAAAATTTCATTTTGAAGTTTCTCCTTAAGAACTGCCAAGCTGTTACTTAAAGAAGCAATTACTTGAGGACAAAGAACACGAGCAGCTCATATCACTTTTTCCGTTATGGAGAATGGCAGCAGATAAAGATGATTTTCAATGCATTTCTTAATTGGTGGACTTAATTCCAGCGAATCTATTCTTAACGCTTTGGTGTCCTACTTAAATTTCTCGACGGTTCCAAAAAACAAAAAATGTCACGTTCCTAGCATGTCAGAAGTGTAAGCGATTTTTTGCAAAATTAAAAACTCAGGTACTTTCTTTTGATCAGCCGCCAGGCTATGTCCGTTGAATGTATGGACCCAGTAGTAATTGGGAAGAGAAGGAGTAAAAGAATAAGATAGTATTTATGTTACTTTCAACTTCAAAGTGGAAACATTGGAAAAATGAGAAAACTGAAGGAGTTGAGCTGGCCAGACAAATAGCATACCGCCAGGTTAACCTTTCGTTAAAAGACTATTGTGACAGCTGTTACAATGCTAACAGAAAGAATCCTCTTACTATTTCCGCGACTGTTCATGTTTCCCTAAAAAGCATAGCAAGCTTGAAGGTAAACTAACTTTGGCTAATTTCACTGGTGCTTTCTTTTAAGTTCAATGCGCTTCGTGAAATGGTTTATGTAAACTTTATTATTCTGTTTATAGCCCCCGCATAAGACTCTGATACGACTTAGTCATCCATCCATCCGTCTGTCCATCTAGCTGTCTGTTAATCATTTGGAGTTGAAATGATCAATGCTGGAAAATTTAAAATGAAAAACTAACCCTTTCAGTTTACAGATCATGTTTAGGAACAAGTGCAACGCATAAAAAAGTAAAGAAATTAAGACCAAAAATCTTAAATATGTTATTACTAACTAGCTACAGTTATTCATTTATTGACATGGCAAGTGACCGGTGATGTGATCAGGTACGAATCATTTTCAATAGCGTTCGTCCTTGGGTCGAAACACGTCGGTACACCAAATTTCATCAACATATGTCAAAAATTACGGCCTATAGGTTGAACACAAGAACACAGGACGGACTAATAGACAAGCTTAAATCGATGCAAAAAAGGATTCTGAATCGACGAATATAATGAAAGGTGGGTCTATCTTAAATTCTTTTGCGTGCTGCATACATCGACACAAGTGGTGTAGAGTATAAAAATAGGATGTAGATTATGCAAAGAATAGGATAAGCATTAGCAGCTACGACTTTTGGCTGTTTATACCTTGCAAAGTATGTTGGCGCGGATGTATGTAACACGCAGAAGTGCTTAAGATGAACCCACCTTTTATCAAAGCTTTTCTGTTCGTCTGTCTGTCTGATGTCTGTCCATGTGTGTTTATGTTCAAGCTACAAGTCGCAATATTTGAGATATTTTGATGAAATTTCGTATACTAGCATGGTTTGACTCAAGGACGAACGCTATTGGAAATGATTTGGGTCGGTGTACTGGTTCAACCACTCCACATATAACGCCCTATTTTGATAAGCGGTTATATGGAAAAAATTGCAATTTTCAAAATTTTTCGACAAAAGTAACGAAAGAATAATATTTCGGCAGCTTAAAGTGGTGTGCAAACTTCGGACATACTCTGGCAGTTTTTTGAACCTCCTCTCATATAAGGAAAACTGGAGATCATATGACGAAAAGGTGTAACTTTCAATGCCGCATGATGAAAATCAGATCATAATAGCTATTTAAGATAAAAAAAAAAATAACTTTACCAAATATCGACCATCTCGAGCTATTTTTTGGATCCTATCCTATATATAGATTTTCACGTAAATTAATCCTTTACAGGACAGAAAAATCTACATTGTAATATGCTAATATGAAAATTGTGTCATAATAGTAATTTGATATAAAAATTAAATCTACAAAATTTAGACCATGTATGACTATTTGTGGATTCTACCTTTTATAAGGATTTTCACGCAAATTTTTGCTTTTCCTGGGGGAAAAAGTCGAAGTGTTAATATATTCTGATGGAAATTGCGCCATAATAATAATTTGATATAAAAGTGAATTGTGCTGAATTTTAAACGCGTACCTCAATTTTTGAACTTCTCACGGAAAGTATACCCTTACCTAGAAAGGGGGCTAATTTTTAACGCACAATTTCATTATGACAAAAGCAAGGTATAATTTTTGTGTTTTATGGCAAAAATTAGAGTTGTGTCATACATTGCGGTACAGGGTATTTAATGGTCACCCCAGCCCGACTATAATGTTTGATCTAGTTGCTTGAATAAAATTTAATACTCTATTGATTCATTCTTCAAGTGCTTTTAAAGCGTCCACAAAGTTCCGCGAGTTCGAAAACGTATCAAATATTTATTTAGCATCATGTAAAAGAAAGCGTGCAGGAGTTGTATACATTTTAGGCTTTAAAATAATATATCAACTCATTTGCGTTAAGATTTCAAGAATTTTTCAAAAATTTTGTACTGTAGTACCATAATATTCCAAATATTTGACCCGTTTTTGTTTAAGATAAGCTATCACTGCGTTTTCCATATAACTGATTGTACTCCTGCGACAATTCAGATTTAATAATATGTCAAAGTCGCAAGAAAAAAAAAGTTAATTTTCATTTTACCTGATAAAGCGGCGACAGCAAGAACATGACCAGATTTTCGTGCAATCATTTTTGGAAGGAATTCTTTTGTAGTCTATTAAATAAAGGAAAACAAGCAAGATAAAGATATGTGTGTATATATGATTTTGACGAAAAATATACATACGAGTAAAATTTTTAATTTAAACTTCATATGAAAATCGTAAAAGAAAATCACGTACCATTATATAAGAGCCCAAGTTAACGGAAATAATTCTTTCAATTTCATCGTTTTTCAACTGCGGTGTTGATGTCATCGGCATCAATGAGGCATTATTGATCAAAATATCTACGGGACCAAGTTCTTTTTCAATTTTAACAGCCATCAACTGCAATTCACGTGGCGAAGAAACATCCGTCTTTTATAAAATAAAACAAAAAATCAAAAAAAAAAAATCCTTTAAATTAAATTCTTTGAAATGAATAAAAATCACTGCGAAAAAATAAAAATAAACGGAATGCATACCTTATACGCTTTGGCTATACTGCGTGGAATTTTCGAAATGATATCTACAGTTTCGTAACATCCTTTCGAATTGACATCAACTACAGCAAGTTTACATCCTTTACGTGCCAATTCAATAGCAATTTCTCTTCCCAATCCACTACCCCCGCCGGTCACCTAAAATATTATTCCAAAAAAAAAAAAGAAAAAGTAATGATAACAAGCAACGCAAAAGCACAAAATCTGAAAGAATTTTCATAACGTGTTGTAGCTTTTTAACGATACAAAACTCATCCTATCGACGCATAAAAATGCGAAAGAGAAAAATCTTTTAAAGTAATTCACGGAATCGTCACTTCATTTGCGATGGCGTCAATTGAGAAATAGTTAAGCACTTGGAACAGAACTTATTTCGAATTATTTTTGTGGAGAGCAGTAATCATCTTACAGGGTCTCCTAAACAAATATCTGGATGCTATAAATGGAAAGGTGAAATTATTATCTTTCATCTTATCGCTTAGGAATTCAGTGGATTGAAAAGGCTCATCTCAAGTCGACTATGTTTAAGTTTCACTTTTGCACAACGGTAAAGAGCTGCAGGTAATCTAGCTAATCCAGTTTTCTAGAAATTTTGCAACCAGCCTCTTACACCCTACAACATTTCTGGCACAGGTCATATTGAATGCGCGACGATGTATGTAGTGCCCAGGCAGACTTAAGATACATCCGCGTTTTTCGTTACATCAAACGATTCAGAATTATTTTCTGTATCTGAATCGATTTGAGCTTGTGTGCTCGTCTGATGTCTGTCCCTGCATCTCTGTGCTCAACCTAGAAGTTCATAGGTATGTATTTGAGATATTTTGACGAAAATTTCTATACTAGAGTGCTTTGACGGAAAATGAACCCTATTAACAAGAGACCGGACCTATTCCTACGAACCATGCCCGAACTAAATTTTTAATTTGAAAAAGTTGTCATAAATTTACAAAAGCTTCGCAAATTTGTAATATCGCCAAATAGTAGCATTTAGTCGTCCTGAAAATCTATGTAAAAAGTCTGGAACGGATTGGCCAATTCTTTGAAAACACTTCCCATATAACCACTTCTTAGAAAAGTAAGCTCTTACATAGCAATAGGAAGTTTTATAATAACAATTGACTCATAATAGTACTTTGACGTGAAAAGCATCGGTACCAAATTTGGATCACGTATATCTATTTGTTTGGATACCATCCCTCAAAGAGCTCTCATGAAATGTAAGCTTTAAATGGCACCGTGGTATAAATTTTAATACATTATAACGAAAATAGGTGTACAATAAAAATTTCTTTGACAAAAAAAATTAATTTTTTCTAAATTTCGATTATACGAGTTCACGCTACAAGCCCGTTCACCTATATTGGTTCCCATGAAAACAGAATATAATTTTTAGTATTTTTTCATGAAAAGAAAAATAAATAAGTGATGCGAAGGGAGTAAGTAATGATCATCTTTGCTTAACTACAATGTTTTTAGTTGTTTAATAGCGATGCACCAAAGACAACTAAACGACAAGGTAGTCGAACATTATGTTTAAAATTCAAACTAGGAGATTATTACGGACTTCTTCTCTGTGTCTGCGACCAATGGCAGTAGTAAAGCTGTTAATTATTAGCTATTTGACTGCTTTCTGCTTCATTCTCACTCTTTGTGTGGGTGAAGATTCAGTTACTACGTTCCTGATATGTCACCAAATTCGCTCAAACGTTTGCAAAGTAACGCATGTGATATACACATAAGTGTGTATACACAAACACTCGGTAGGTAAAAAATGCGATTTGTTTTCCTTCCATCATTTATTTCGTAGCGAAGAAATGTTAATTTTATAGCCACTTATTTCTTTAATAAATATCAAGGAATATATGCTATGACATGACATATGAAGAGAAATTCTGGAATATTCTACACTACTGCAAGATATTCTAGAACATTCTAGAATACACATATGTGACGTGAAAAGTTGCACAATTATGTCAAATATATGTGTAAGCAAATAAAATTGATAAATGTATAAATAAGAAGAAAATTAGATAACGGCAAATTATCCGTATCTCTAATTATTCCTATTATGTATGTAACTCTTTTTAATAACAAAAAATTTCTTCATATTTCTGAATATAAAAATTTTCATTGAAATTTGTCGGAGCGTTTGGCGAACATTACGAATGGGATAACCAATGGAAGGAGAACGAATTATATTTGCCACATATAACCTATACATACCTACCTGTTTGGTTTGTTTCGTACATATCCAATTATATATATACCCGTACCGGGTACGCATTTATAAACAAAGAATTGCTTATGCCTCTGCGTTGCAAACGTTTGAGAGAAAGCAACACCATATCGGGAAACTATTAAGAGAATCCTTGCCCGTACACAGAATGCGAATGAAGGAGCGAGCAGGCAGTCAAATTGTTGCTAATTAACAGCGTTACTGCTATTACTTATAACGGAAACGAACAAAAAGTCCAAAAGTTGGACCATCTTGCCGGTCTCTGGATATGCGATATAACGAACGAATCTATTTGCCAACGTAATCTACTTTTTTACCTGCATTATGTTCATAAATTCTCCTTGATTCTATGTTATTTGCTTTCAGTTCATTTCTGTATTGTTTGAAAAATTTCTCAAAAATAAAAACAAACAATTCTTTTCTTACATATACATGCACTTACATACATACATACATACATACATACCTTTCATACGCTTTCAATAAAATCATGTTCTCGGTTCTTCTACTGTTTGCAATTAATTTGTGCTTAGAGCAATAATGACTCATTAACTACTATTGTTATTGTTATAATTATTATAGTTGTAATTGTCATTGTTATTCTTGTTGTTATTTTTGTTGTTGTTGTCATTATTATTAAAATCTCTCTCACAACCCATAAATTTATGTATTTTATTTGCATTCATTCATTCACTTATTATCTTTTATAAACTAGTCACTCAGTCACCTATATATATATATAGATAAAGACCCGGCATTCACTCAGTTTTTTGAATCTTAATTAATTGCTAATGACACACACATATAACCTTTTCTTCAATTTTATTATACATACATATATATACTTTGTACGAATAGTAGCGCTTATCATATCAATTATAGTAAGCGATCGAAAAACGATGACTTTTAACCTACGTAAGTGTAAGTAAATTAAAAAAAAAGAAACTATATTATGGCTTACGAATGAAATATATTTAAAGATCGGAACATAAAAGTATACGAAATTTACTATGGTATTCATGATATGCGAAAACAAAAATGATTTAAGTCAATCAGTGAAGTCAGTCAGCTTGCTTGAATGGATAGTCATGCAATTTTTCTCGATTTTCATCAATTTATTAATCAATTACGAAGAAGTTATAATTGCCTTAAATCGGTCTCCTGCGATCATCATCAATTAAGAATTGTGGATTTATGCAACTAATTCGCATTTTTTTTTCTTTTTTTTTTTTTTTAGAGAAAATTGGAAAACTTGCATGTTTCTTAAATACAGACGACAAGATGACGAAAATCCATGCGCACTCAGCTACACTTAGTCATTAGATGTAAAACAATTATGAAGTACTGAGTTTATTAAACCGTGCTCGTCCACCTCTCGATCATGTAAATATCTATTAGCTGAAGATTGCTTTTATCTGTCCGTCATCTACCTATTTAGCTGTACAAATAGCAATTTATTTTTCACTTTCCTAGTTCAACTAGATTCAGTCAGTCAAACATTTAGTCCATTTGTCCATCTATATATCAATATTACCGAGTTTATGATACAAAAGCGAAATATTCTTATTTCACTCATAAACACCATCTTAATGCTTGGAAAATACTTACGCCTTCTTAACCGCAGCCTTGTCACGCGGTAAGCTTGAGATACATTTTTAATTATTTTAGATCACATTTTCAATAAATTTGTGGTAAAACAATAATAAACTAATTAACTAATCCCAAGATTCTCTTAAGCAACTAAAATTCATATCGTGATGTGATGGTTAAAAAAGAGGAAAAAAAAAAATCAAAATACTATGAGGTTGACTGTAATGTATAAACTAAAATAGATATTACCCTCAGGGTCAAGATAAGTTAGTTTAAAATTTAAACAAATGAGTTGCTATTATAGTTGATCTTCTATTTAACATAACGGAAGCAGAAAGGCAGGCGTTGCACTTCAGAGCTTATTTAAATGAACGAAGAGCATAAAATCTAAAGGTACATCGTTAACTACCCAAGCAAATGTTCGTCTCTCAAAGACAAAGAGATGTGACTTTTCCATGTGTCTTATGTTAACTGCATCATAACTATGGTAACAATGATCCTATCCGAAGAATGTGGAGACAATATAATTTGGAAATCTAACTTGATTGACTTTCAAGTAGATGATGCCGTCATTAAGTCGAAGATTATTAAATACTTGAGCACTCTACTCTACTCCATCCTCGTTAGCTATCAGCCGAACCATGCTGTAGTTGATAGTTTTAAAGCTCATGTCGATTCGCATTCTAAACATTAAACAGAAATGGTCGGGGCAGGGAATGTGCGGTCGAGAGATCGATCGTTTAAAAAAAACTTTATTGCATTTATTTAATTAAATAATTAATCAAATGATACAATAAATGCAATCCCTTGATCAGAATTTTTAAATCTCCATATCTCGAATACAAATATGAGTAAACATTGTTACATCATGCATATGTGCTTGTGAACTTATAAAATTCAATTAATTGAAAGTTAAAAGAGAAAGAAAAAAAAAAAAAAACAAATTTACTTTGCATTTAATTTGTCGAACATTTGTTATGTATTTAAATAATTTCAAATTGAACTTGGCATTCCTACGCGTGCATACACATGTACACATGTATGCAAATTTCAAATATTTTCGGCGCTACTTTCTAGTTGACTAAGACTCAAAACTTCTTTTCCATATAAGCGCTTGCTTTTCATGATAACCCCTGCATATGTTGGAATCTAATTTTTTTGCTAAATTGCTACTATGAACCCATATCCAACTTTCATCATAAAATATTAAAAATTAAACCTTGTTCCGAAGGATTTGCCAACTATTTAAAGGGTACCTTATATGGAGTGGAGTCCAAGAAAATGGCCCAGCTTACTATTATGAACAAATATGCATTACAAAACATTCACAATGAAGCCTTTCTGGCGAGAAAATTGACGTACTTGATCAATATTGGTTGATTCATTTATCAATTTACTATACTGAATCAATTTTCATCATGATATATTAAAAATTAGATCTTTTCGTACACTAGAGATCCAGTTTCCGTAGGAAAAATTATATAAGAAAGGGCTTAAAAAATTTCCTTAGCAGAACCAAGCACGTCAGTGCACGTCAAACTTCATCAAACTGTCTCAAAAATTGAGACCTGAAGGTTGAACACAAAAATATATGAACAGACCCTAGACGGAGATACAGAAAATGATTCTGAATAGGTCGGTATAATAAAAGGTGGATCCATCTTAAACCCTTCTAAGTGTTACATGTGTCCGCACAAACTTAATATACCCTGTCCCAAAAGAGTATTATAAAAGTCTAGCTAATATTGAGAGTTGACTGCAGAAGCAATTTTCGCTATTTACCGTTAACAGAGAATATAAACAATTGTTTAAATACAGTACTTTTCGCTTAATGAAATTATGTTCTTCTTAAACTTACACAGAAGACAATAGAGGGTGAAGTTTGCACTACATTGCATTGCTGACTCAGATGTATAACATGCCATCCAATAAGTTCGTAAGGCGCCAAATAGATCTCGCTACTCTTGACGAATCCGTAGGATGCTTAGATGGTTTTAACGAATTAACTTCAAACGAAATATGCCAAAATTCTCAAACATTCCGACCGTTACGCTACACAAGAAATTCAGTTTTATCTACTTCACAAAAATAAATGTCGAATCATTAAAACAACTGTAACTTCTACACTAATGTTCATGGAAATGTGTATGGAAAGGCTCTCCTAGCTCTATTCCTCCAGTATCTTAAAGTCTGTTTTTCTTACATATAATGTACAATATGTGAGATGGCGAACAACTCCTTTTGATTGCGATTATCTTAAAGAGAGAGCTCTGTACTGTGCTAGACATGCTTAGGTAAGAACACAATAAAACCTGAGAGAAGTTTTAAAGTAACTTAAATCGAACCACAAGGCTTCTACCATGTGCTTATATAGTTTCAAATTTGGTTAACTTTAAACACAATATCGAATGGAAAACCGGAACGATTTGAAAGAAGCAAGAGACTTGAAATGATTTGCTCTAACAAATACAAGTTTTAAGAGTAAGGTTTCGCTGTTTCATTTAATCTTTAAATTATAAGTTTATATCCAAGAAGAAGAAAAGGAGACTGTGAACTCCTTCAAGCAGACAATTTCACTTAATTTTTAATATAATACAAATTTTCGAAATCTCATTAGGGTTAAGGAATATACCGGCCGCGATGTACGAGATCATAAACTTAATGCACGTACGCCGTGAGTATGAAAAGTGATTTGTAAACAAAAATTTAATAAAACAAAATAACTAAAAAATTATTTGCGAGGAGAATAATTACATTTTTCTATTGTAAGTGTAAACAAAATATGTTGGCATATTAGCTTTGTCACATCGTATGTAACATAGATGTGAGTGCATGTAAAGCAGATACTGAGAGATGGAAAACATTTTCGCTCAGAGCAAAACTCTGAACCCATTTACCTATTCCTTTGCCCATGCGCTTGTCAGGTATCGAAAGAAATTTGACTAAAAATCTGGAGCTTGGCCAATGCCTTCGTGCTTGATATTAACAAGCTATAAATTGCTAAATGAAATTTTCTAAATTTTTATGCAAATAACGTAATACTGCAGTGGATATTGGTGGATCAACTGACGCCATAATTCGCGCTGACAAAAAAAGCTTCATTACGTTTGTTTGTCTATATTATCAATGCGATTGCGGTGCTTACGATTCGCTGCAATGCACTAATAAGTCTGTGTTGAGCTGTTTTTAAATAAGATCGCAATACACGCATAGGCGAAGACACACACTCTACGAAGAAGACGACTGTTGACTGGTTGTGCAAGTTTGTCCCATTGCGAATTTGTTTACGGCTTTTAATAAACATAAACCTTTGAAATCAATTACCTATGTATATATATGTATATATATATATATATAAAAAGATATGAAATTTTTCCAAACATAATGTATGAATAATAGAACCACACCCAGAGAAGAATTTATCATTAATTAACACTATACTCGGCAAAGGGTTTTGAGGGTTTTTTTTTTTTTTTTTTTAAAAAAGGTTTTGGTTTTTTTAAAATTTACAAAAAAAAAAAAAAAAAAAAAAAACGCAGACACAATTGTCCGTCCCTGGTTCACGTAAAGTAAAACTGAAATAAATTTCAAGAAAAAACTTGTTGTGGTTGTTAGTTCGATGACGTTATTGATAAGCAACTTGAAGAGAAAAAATGAAACCACGATTTTGTTTTTTTTTTTTTTTTTTCTTATATCATCCCCATTAACGGAGAGTACAATCGTTTTAATGTTGAGTTTGTAATCGTCGGACATCTGCTTTGCGATAAATATGTGTTCAACATGAGTTTTTAATCGATTCGTTCTGTTTCTCAACACATGCTCATCATTAACGAGACTTTTTTCCAGGGAACTATTTGCCAGGTATCCCCTTGATAAGAAATCCCACGTAAATAAGAATCATTCGAGTTGCACGCACTACTCGCAATTAGTTCGTCATTATTAAAAACTTTAAAGTCGTGTAAACAATTTAGAACAAAAATACTTGAAATTTCTTATGCTCTCAATTAGGCGCACATATTTATCGTAAATAGGCCCAAACGAGTTTCGACAATGCCCTCCGTACGCGTACCATTCTGAGTTAGATCGGTTTACGTTCACTTTTTCTCTTTCGCGTATTTCTTTTTGTAATGAAACACGAAAGTTAAACGGAGTTGCGAAAGGTATCAATAATTCGGTTCGAAAGAGACATTATTTGGTCTGTCGTTTAACCATATCATATAAGATGGTTTTTAGACGCTTTCACAATTCCAACAATAAGGGCAACTTGTTTTTATTGCAAATAGCATATCAGTAATGTGTTATCTACTTATGGATCTTACCAGAGCTACTTTTCCCGTAACATCTTTTTCTTTAAGATTCAAAGCGAAGAGATAATCCAGCAGATGTTTTAAAAATACCGCAAACAATATTAATGGCAATAATAGGAGAAAGACAATAATTTTCAAATTGAAAATGCCTCTAGTAACCTCATCATTTTGACGAGAACTGGCTAGTGTTGCAGTGGAACTGGTCGCGATTGAGATGTTATGAGCAGTGGGAGTGGTTGTTGGTGGTGGTGGTACAGGTGTGGTACTCGTTACATGCGTTATGGTCGTTGTGGTCGCTGTTTCCACCATTTTCTGACACACTTTTTTTCAAATTTCAATAATAAAATAAACGTTTGCACGAAAAACCAAAAAAAAAAACAACAAAAAAATATTTAAAAAAATTCGCTTAAATACGGCGTTTTTTTTTTTTTTTTTTTTTTTTTTTTTTGTTTTTGCTTTGCTTTTCACTTAATAAAACACATTAACAATCAGGTCGTGTTTCATCTAAGACGCCGTAAACGCGTTTGTCGTTTCAAAAAAAAAATATTTTCTGCGTATATATCATAGATGTTGTTTTATTATTTTTCCACTCAAAAAACTTATTTATTTATTTTGCTTTTTATCGTAACACTTCTCAACTGTTTGTGCATCTTTACCGCCATTTAGTTACGCGACTGCTTTTAACGTTTTCACATAATCTCGTCTGGACACTTATTCTTACTTATAAACACAGTTAGCTTAGCAGTTTAGCAAAGTATCGTGTTTCGTATGCTGCTACCATTGTTTCGTATTATTATTGTTTTATTAATCATCATCATCACCATCATCATCATCGTCGTCGTCGTCGTCGTCAATTTTATTAGATATTGGGGAGAGATATACGTTCGCGTGTGTTTGTTTATTTCGTCCAAGCTCTCCATTTAATGAGCTTTCATTTTGAGTGACATTTCGTCAGTTATCGAAAACACTCAATAATTTCCAAGACAAGATCGCAATATATCAATGAGAATACAATGAATGAAAGAAAAAAATCCAGTATTTACCTTAAAGAGAGTAAAGAGAGAAAACTAAAACTGGAAAATCGAGAAAGGTTTAAGAATTTTTTTTTCTTTTTTATTTTTTAACTCTCTGAGAGTTCAGCACGGAAAAAATCTACACTTTATTCATAGGGAGACAATTGTGTAATGGCTAAGTAGGGTAGTTCACTCAGGATGCAGAAATGCACCAACCACGTATGAAAACCCCGTAATAAAAGAAAAAAAAGTTACGGTCGCCGACAGCAGAGTAGTCTCAATACGTTACGTATATAAAGGAAAGTATTTAAATCTCAACAAATAATGATATCCTTTAAGAAAAGAAATCCAAAAGAAAGAGTTGACATCCCTCTCCTATATCTCAGAATACGAGATGTTTCGCTTAGTGCATCTTTGCATAGGCACCATAGGCCAGGCCGAAAGCCTGTCTTCAAATCATCAAACTGATCTGCTTTTGTGCTGTTATCCCCAAGAGACGACGATGCAAATTTCTACGTAGGAGTCTATACTTCTTCATCATCAAGTCATCCAAATTTAAATGCTCACACACTCTCTGTTAGCATGAGGCTATTGATGCCGTATTGCCTTTCGTTTCACAACCGCAATCCATTCCCGATCTGAAGCATTAAATTCGGAAACATTTTTAAATTTTGTGCTTACATCTCTCTTTACCTTTAAAACCGAATTGAACCAAGCAATTTTTTCGGAAAATTTTTACTTCCCTATATGTAAAGAGATCTCATTAAGTGCGTTAATGTTGTCAATTTTAGTTAATAATCTAGTATAGGCTTAGTTTCACATTCAAATCAATTAATGGAATTTCGCGGAGAAGAGCTGAAAAAAAAAAATGCTTCCTTAATTGACCAATGATACTCGAGCTTTTGCCACCAAAGTTTGGATATGATAAGTGAATGTAAAATGTCGCCTTTATCGGAACACCTTTCATACTTTACGGAACCTCTCACTATGAATCTTAGGAATCTCACTCAAGTATAAATATTACTTAGCAGGTTCTATGAGTGCAAATCCAATAAAGTAAATAACCAACAAAAGCATAGAAAATCTTGCTCCAGCTAACAATTTTAATGATTATGCTTAACACGTACGAAACATGCTTACAAGAGACAGGTTAAAAAGAAATAAAGCTAAAAAAAAAATATGCATAAAAAAAGTATAAACCACTAAAAAAGGAAAACAACATTGACGCCATAAATAGTTAAAATTGCCAAAGGTCTTCCGGTTAACAACGGTTTGTCTTCTGCCAAAATAGGTCATAATAACATTAAACTTTTTCTGACTACGCGCAGGTGGACTTATAACAATTAATAATATATACATAAATCGCAACAATTAAATACATCAATATACCAAGATTGACTCATTCATTGCACACTATAGCTTAAGAATAAAATAAAGTTCCGTAAAGTTCGTTATACAAGTTACATATAAATTGTTTTCATACAATTTAGTTTGCGTTGAGAAAGGTCACTGACTTTAATTTTGCGAGTGTTTACCATATGACGCGTATGATAAACTTAGATAGGATATATCTGCCAAGACAAGCATTTTTAAAATAAATGTATTCGGGCAAAATTTACATCTGTTTAGGAAAAATCGCACAATCAAATGTAATTTCGTAGGATTAGTTGATGACGCACACATGTTTAACTTAACACGTGTGACTTTTAGTATAAGACTTTAAAAGATTTGGAACACATGGATTGAAAGCCACAGCATTGCTTTACATAAATATGCACAACATGGTACGCATGCGTAAAGATATGCAGATATACGCATGTGTATTGATATTATAAAATGACGTTTCTGTAGTTTTCGACTATAAATATAAATCTATGCAGTAATTTTGCTGTTTTTTTTTTTTTTTTTTTGTTAGAGAAAATATTTTTTGTTATTGTATTGAAACTAAACTAAGTTCAATGTCCTCACTTGCGCGCATGTGTGTTTGTGTGTGTGCAACGCTCGATTGAAATATAAAATTAAAATAATGTCGTGAATGAAATATGCCTTTACTCATCGAAACTTTTTCATTGTAAGATTTTGAAACAATTTAACTAAACGATCTCATTCGTCGTTTTCAGATATTTTCATATATTTCTCTCAGTTACAGCTGAGTTTAATCTGAAATTAATTTTGTACAGAAAACCGAATTAGCGAGCATTCTCAACTCGACTAAATTGTTCTTTTTTTTAACGTAGCTTTTGTAATCGTCTTATTAGCTCCATGGGCACCGCAAATACCGTATTACAGGCCAGATTAATTTTAGCAAACAAACGTTGTCCTAATGGTAATTTTTCCTTATTTTTTGCGTTTCAATCATCTAGTGGTACTACAGAAACTTCCCAAACATATATGCTGTCGTAATATTTCCCATCCAAGGGCGTGCCTAATTTGCGTATATTTCATAAATAAGTTTACAAAATATGGTTTAAAAAGCGTCGTATAACCAGGCGATCATATGCACCTGTGTGGTCTGAAGTTGAAGAGATAAGAAAAAACTAGTGTAACTCGAGGAATTGTTTTAATAAATTAAGTATAATGTAGATGTCAAGAGATTTGTGTGCTCGGAGGGATAGGCGAATTCTGGGAATCATGTCTATTCTAGAATAGTTGAGCAGAAAAAATAGACAGAAAGGGACATTACAAGAAACACATTTAGTAGGCGCAGTGCATTCATCGTAATGTCTAGGATCATATGAAATCGTATTTAATCTGAGGCGGGTTAGTGAACTGCTTTCGGCCTTCCGAATGGTAAACATTACCATTTATATTATTTAATTTTTCCCCACCTTTCCTTGGTTAGTAAAATGATTGTCACTAGCATTTGCCGTAGTCTTTACTACCGCCGCGTTCAATGCAGCTGAACAAGTAGCGAAGCATGAATGATGAAAAAAAGACATAAAATATTAGTTACAAAGGCTGACAATCGGTTTGATGCTGCGACGGCTTACGACAAAATTGAGCGTAGTTATGAGACACATTCTTAGGTCATGATAAAGTCACAATTAAAAACATAAGCAATTCTCACAAAGATTTTTGTTTTTATTTGGCAAAGTGTTTTTTTACCCCAATCACCCATAAGTTCATTTGTAATAAATTAATGAATGTAATAATTGTCTACGCCACAGTTTCGATTATTTGCTGAAAATATTTCTGAAGAACATAAATAACAGTTGAAAAAACTTAATATTTTAAATTTTCCGCTGACACTGACAAGGTTCGCCTACAATTTTTTTTTTCTTTATGTACAACATAACTATTCTCTTGGTCTTTTTAATTAAATTCGCATACATTTTCTTCGCTTCTTCAAAAACACAAAAAAATCAGTTTATTAAAAAAAAAAAATAGAAATACATATAATGAATATTTTATAAATGGAAAAAACATGAAGAAAAAAAAGGCAAAAAAAATAAATGAAATAGAAGGCACATAAACTATTGCAAATACAAAAGCAAATGACTTGAATAAACATATTTAACTACAGCTAAAAATGAATTTTGTTTACACTTTTCATCTACTAAGTTGGAATGTTTTTTACATATTTTTGAATACTTTCAAAAATTGAAAGAAAAATTTAAATTTAATTGTAATTCGAAACTATTATACGTTGACAATAGAGTGATTACTGAACACAAAGGCACACACAAAAAAAAAAAAAAGAATACCGTGAAAATTTGTAATGGAATAATGATGAAAAAATCAAAGCGAGGGTTTAGTTGGCCGCCAATGCTTCTTCTGCAACAAATTAATGCGATAAAATCAATGAGAATAATATAACGGAAAGAAAACTAAATAATAAAATGAATTACATTTCTATTTTCACAATTCCCATCGTACTTACGATATAAATGCCAAAATTCATCTCTTTCTTTGGGAATATGATAGAAAAATTCTCGCATTTGGACGTCAACGAACAATAATTTAATAGCATTCAGTGTCGCCTCGCGATTCTTAAATCTTAACGTCATCACGAAATCCCCATTATTTTCTCTGTGAAGAGAATGATTAGAACATTTTCCGCCGCTACCATCGCTTATCCCATATTCACTTATTTCTTCACAACTACTGCGACTGTAATCAGTATTTAACGAAGAGTTGTCAAGCTTCAGAGTTTTGGTTTCAGTACAGTATTCTGAAAATAATAAAATTAAATTAAATTCGTAACAATATCAATAAATATCAATTTCATTCACCATAAGGAGCCTTGCGCTTTCTATTCATTTTCGGAGGCATTTCTTCACTACGTTTATCGCGACGGGGCGATGTACATACTTTTACATGCAGAACACGTTGCGCTAAAATTTCACCACTAAAAATTAACAAGTATTTAAATATAATGGGACAACATTTTTTGCATTTAATTACGATTTATTAACCTCATAGTTTCCAACAGAAATATAGCGCTGGTTTCACGACGACCCATACAAGAATTATTGCAGGAAAAATTAAACAACAATTGTTGTTTAACTTGGTTCTCGCCTTCCGCTGATTTCACATAAGCATCCAAAGGTATCACCACCGAATAACGATCCTTAATATATTTGCCCGTCTCGCTGCCACAATATTCTACCCCCGCATTTTCACAACGTAACATTGAATGACGTATTTTGATGTTCTCTGTGATCATAAAGAAATGATTTCAATAAGAGCTTAGAAAAAAAGTCTTTATTTTACATTTGTTCGACGTACCATTGTTATCCTCACAAATATGATTTTGGCATCTCAACACTGGTTCGCTTGTGTCTTTTGAGAAAACCATAAATGCTCTTGCACGTAGTGGTTGTATCGGTATTTTCAAAGTGTAGTAAGCGTCAATGTAAACATTTTCATTCTTCTTGATGTATAACTTTTTGAGGTGTTCCGAATAGACGGCATTACTTTTATTACCTCGTATCTGAGGTCCTTTAGATTGTACACTAATTCGAAATTTATAATCTCCTTCATGTTCCTCAAGCGATGGCGGGAGATTGATTTTCTACAAGTGCAAAAAACAAATTACTTGACGTTCAAAGAACAGTATTTATTGAGATGAAGATTTAACAATTTTACCGGTTTGTTATTGATGTGTTCTCCTACTAGCGTGCGTTGCACCGACGATTGCTGAAAGATGTTTATGGTGGATTCAAAATTAGTTGAGAAAAAATTACAAAATAAAAAAATTAAATACAACAAGTTTTTTTTTAAGCCTGAACTTCTAAGACGTCTCTTGTATTAATGCACATCAGATATATATATATATTTGAAATTAACTAATCTAAGAGGATAAAATGTTTTCGCTTTTTGCAATTTAAAAAAGTTGTCTGTGATCTGTCCCCACAGAAACTCATTGTTGAAAGCTTGATCTAAAGTGAATCGATTTTTTTTTTTATCATTTGATATACACTTCGATTATATTTTCAACTTGCACCCATTTTGTTTTTTACTTCAATCGTTTTTTTTCTTTAGTTACATTTTGTCAAAAGTTCTAAGTTCTATTGTCTATTACAATGGAGTCACATCATCGTAAACAATGGAAAGAACGCACAATATTAAATAAATGCTACGTCATTTCTATAATCAGTGCGGTATTTTTGGCCATTTTTTCCTTTGTAGCCGCAATTGCATATTTTTGTGTATTTAAACGCGATGACGCAAATGTATAGAACTAGGAGCAGGAGAGGAACAATTCAATATTAATTATTACCAAAAAAAAGAAAATATATATATATATATATAGATGAAGTTTATCGACTGCTTATCCCACTTGGCGGAAGTTTGCTAAAAACTCACACTCATTAATTAAATAGAAACCTACGAGTTCAAGTTACCTGGCTCAGTTGCATCAAGTTGCCGGACTGGAAAAAGAAGTGACAACAGGCATTTGTTTAATGAAAAATTTTAAAGCATAGCTAATTTATAAAAACTTACATCGATGCTCTGAAGTAAACCTAATGGTTCTTCGAAAGGTCTGCAAAGTATACGCAAAAATATTTTATCCACAATTATTTGTGAGAGTCAAATTAAACTTACTTTACATCTAAATCATCTTCTTCCACCGCAGAGGGGGATATGATCACATGGGGAGTAACAGCGTTCGTTAAATGTTGAATGTTCTGATAATTATCACTGCAAGCACAACGGAACCGAAATCGTTAATAAGATTTTTAGATTTATAAATAAAAAGCAAAAAAGGCATTGGCTGAAAATTTGTTTACAGGTATTTACGAAATGTGACGCTCACCTATCATTTAATGTGTCTTCGTCTCTTCTTATTTTGCGATTAATTTTTCGTCTCATATTAAATAATAAAATCGTAAAAGTCAATAAAAGTGTGAATAAAAGAGATTGTAAAATTTATTAAAAAAAAGAAAAAGTAAAATTTGCAAAATAAATTAAAACTTCTTAACTTCCTCTATATAAGAACACAAGCCACTATGAGAACACGATAGCCTAAGTATGCAAAAAAATATACTGTCAGGGTTGCTATTTGTGTATTGCATACGATCAAAAATGTTACTTTAACTTGAGAGACAGACGGCACCGTCATAGCGTTGAGTTCTTCTTGGTTAAGTCTTTTCGGGGAAGTTTAAATGCCATTTATACGGAACGCGCAACAAAATTTTCGAATCTATTTAACACATCTGAACCAAGTTCTAAAGGGGCGACTTAATTTATGTCGATCTTACTATGTCGTACGATTCATTTACTTGAATTGTATTTGAAATAAATCTAGTTTGACTTTGAGTCAGTTTTCGAAAAGACCTTGAAAAGGACTTCTAGAGAAAAAAGTGTACCAAACCTATATAAATTCTTGAAATTTTATATCTGTTATGGACTTTTGCAAACCTCATTTGAAACGGTGTATGTCAATTTTCAGTTATATGTCGCATCTAAAGATTTATATAATTCTAATTATATAATTTTCCCTAATTTTTTTTACGATAAGAGTTAAGATAAATACGAGTAGAAATTAAGATTTTAAAGTTCATACGTACGATACGTTTTGTTCCACAGATAGCTGACCTGTGGAATTTATGCTGCCATAACTGCTGTTTGTTGTTTGTTGATAGCCGTCATATATATGTGTAAACATCTGATGATACCGTGGATTATCGAGATTATTTACTGACGATGGTGGAGTTAAGCATTCTGGCAATGAAACATCTTCGAATCTAAGAAATAGAAGAGCATAAAAAATAAGGTAAATTAATTGATAGGTACCGTAACTAGTCCTTTCAGTTTTCCCTTACTCTTGGGAAAAGTTCATTTGTTGGATGTCCTCTGTTGTTGGACATCCAATGAAATTCAGGACGTAATTATTAGCGGCATGGTCAGCAATTAGTTGATGATTAATCATCTTGTAACTCTGCGCCGACCTGCACCTACAGAGGATAATTTGTCGGCTAAGCCAGCTTTTACAGTTTCCTTTTGTTTCAGTACAATTTTTATGGTTGTGGATTGTGGTGAAATTCGCAAGTCCAAGCCTGATTTATGAGTGATTTTGGAATCATAAATATATATATAATAAATTAATATTTGTTACCATTCAGTGATTTTTTCATTGATCAAATTATTTCTTGCAAATTGTTTTACGCTTTTTCGGAAAAAATATTCAAAATTTACTTCAAGTCAAATAATTATTATTAATAACAATTAGGAAAACAGAGGTTCAAATGAAGACAATTTTTTAAGCAAAAAAACAAAAACAACAGATAGTTTTAACAAGAACGCACTTAAATCAACATTTAACCGGTAAATGCATTACACACAAAACACTGCTTCTTATTTACTAACTGATTTACAGTTTAAGTACAATCATGCGCATTAATGCGTTGCCAGATTGCTTACACAAGGTAAGATCTTAATTCCTAAAGAGATTCATTACTTTCAATAAATTGCAACCGTGCGAATATTAACAGTCGTTTAAAGTTTTTAATGAAATGTGTTCATTTTTTTGTTTGAAAATTAATAATGATTATCTTTTATTAAAAATAAATGTCATTATTGCAAGCATTATCTGTAAGACCTGGAGTTGATTGGAAACAATTCATAATCCGACTGATTTTAATTATCAGTCTTCGAAGTTGCTGTTGTGACTTCAAGATTTTAAGATCTTGCCTGAAACATCGTACTTGATGTCTAGATTTAACTTTTGGTTTGTAACGCGCAGAAGAGGACTTCAATGAAAGTATATATTCTTGTTCAGCCTTAAATTCTAACTCGATTGAAGCGTGTCCACCTGTTCGTGTGTGCAATGTCTATGCGTAAGCATTCCCCTGGCCACAAAAGGGAAGCTATCGTCTTCAAATGTGGAGGAAACGATTGAAGTTCTTTCACACAGTTTGGTAATAACATTGAACCAAATCGCTTGAAGAGTACGCCTGCAATAACACGAAAACTGGGAACACCTATGTTTTTCGAAAGGAGTAAAGCATTGATTTTTTGTTCGTTATTCATAAGCTAACATTTGAACGTGTATTCTATGGGCGATGCTATAATACCTGCACAAATTTGAGAAAAATTGTCCACGCCTGCCCTTTGTTATAATCTATTAAAATTTAATTTTTTTTCAATTCTTTTATAACGAGCAAAAGCGGACTTCAACAATCCCAGAAAGTATATACTTTATATAAACTTATGATCAGTTTCAAAATCTGAATGCAAATAATCATGAGTGCCTGTTGTGTAGTATCTCCCCTTCGCGAAAATAAAGAGATTTGCAAATGATTTGAAAATTACCAAAACTGGTCCCAAAACATATATCTGCACACGCCTATGACATAAAAATTGTGAACACCGTGTGTTTCGTGTTTTTTGCTTGTTGCTCACAAAACACAACACGCACGCCGCATAAACTTTCACCTTTATTTTGAAAATACAAAAAACTTACCCGCGACCACTAAATATTACAGAGTATAAAATTTTAGTTCTGTTTCTCCTATTTAATCGGTGGTGGATACAAAACATTCGGTCCCTTCTTTTTTTTTTTTCTAACGAAATTTGTCCAGAAATCAGTGTAGTTTCTAGTGACTGACGTAATCGTCTATTGAAGCATTTTCCACTTCAGGGCATCAACAGTATATAAAAAGATCTCATTCGTTAAATAACAATTTGTGTTTAATTACGATAATTATACATATATATATATATACATGTATACATATATATATTTGTGGTTTTATGTTCTCCATACTATTTTTTCGATCCAATTAAGGAAATGGGATATTCTTGTGTATATGCTTGGTGCTCCTATAGCGCAGCCCATACCGAATGAAGTCAAACCGACTAAATACGGGACTTGAGTATCATATTTAAATATTTTGATTATTACTGGCCCACCTGAGTCACCCTGCAAATACAGCCATTATTTAAAGAAATAATATTGATTAAGACGCTTTATATTTTATACCTGGCATGTGTCCATTTTTCCTTGCGGATCTCCGGCACAAATTTGTCCCAAGTCAATGCCGTATTTTAATCGTTCCTCATGCTTGTAAAATCGAACACAATTTTCATTAGTCATTGCTTTCACAAACACTTTAAGTAGATTACTAGACCGGGGCCCAGCTACAATTGATTACATGAACTAATTTTTTACAACCATTGTTTTGTACCGTTATATAGAATGTAATTACCAAATTTAGTTTGACCATAACCTGCGGCCGTTAACATTTGTTGTGGTAAATCCGAATGAGGCCATAAGCATACAGGAGACGCTCTGTGGAGAAGATGATTTATAATGTAGCTTATGGGATTAAATCTGGTTGAGTGTTCCGCATGTCTAAGGTCTATCTAACATCGGTTATTCGCACCCGTTGCTTAAGAGGATAGTCTGGCGGGTTCAGAGCGCGACTGGTATTCCGATCGCTCTGACAAAAGAGCATTTAAAGTTTTCAGAGATAACGGTCTGCCTGATTTATATTTACAACGTGCCAGACAAGAACTTTGAACAGTTCGATTACATTTTTCAAATGGGCAAGAAAATCGTAAACGATTCGAAACGTTCATGTCTCGTAAATTGCAAACCTCAAATACACATTACTTAGCGATTATGGCGGCAGGCCGGAAAATGGAGGGTGAAAAACCGCTTAAAGTTAATAAACATTGTTCTAATTCTTCGACCTAAGGAAAATGCTAATGAGTGCTTGGAACCGGTTTTTTTTTAGAAATGAGAGACAGCGTGTTATGTGATACGATTTTTTTGTCTTCCTTCTTACCACAAATATGAACGCAGATTATATGTTTTATTGTTTGAAGTCTGATCAATGAAAACTTGGCTGTCAAAATTTTTGGAAGAGGCAAAGGACAGTCGAGGTCGACAAGAATATCCAAAGGAGTTTATGAGATATGACTGAAAATCTCAGGCTGATCATGATTGGAAGATATGTGAGTTAATCGACGATGGACTTTAATAAACACAAAAGCATTCGCAACTTACCTCGATGGCTTTGCTAACTTCGCGACGGCAATATCGTTATAAGCTAAAGCCGGGTCGTAGCGTGGATGTGGAATGACTTGTACAACTTTAATTTCTTCTATATTCTGATCGTTCAAATTTTTACCACCCAAACGAACTACCGATGGAGATTCTCTTAAACAAATAAATAAATCAAATAGTACATCGTTTCCCACTAATACTTACAATTTGATATGCATTGCTAGCTAGTAGTAAATAAAAAATGGCTGTAGAATCAAGATTAGTTAATAGTATCGAAAAGCAGCCTATTATTAGAGTGAGCAGAGTTATGTTTTAGCGGAAACACCAAAAACTTACACATCTTTTAAATAGAAATCTTGGAAAGGGAAGTACGTTTGGTCATTTTAATGACTCGACAGGTATTGGCTTGGAAGAGTGACATAAGCGATGAAACTTTGGAAAACACGACCTACCTTGCTATTCATTTATTGAGAAAGTTCAATTAAAATAAAATTAAACGTCTGCTTGTGTACTAAGCAACTAGAATATACGGAATCGTTTGCGATTTTTATTAAGACAGTAACTCTCAAAGCATGTCGTGGCATTTCTATATCGTATCAGTTAAGTAAAAATTATTGAATTTTGATTTTAAGTGGACTATTGCTTAGGAATGCCAAACAAGTTAACCGTTCCTTAAAAAAGGTTGCAGCTATCATTTCTACAATTGCGTTTGGAATCATCCGTAATTGCAAATGCAAGTGGAAAACAGATGTACAGACGGACAGACAAGCGATCGGTATAATAAAAGGCGCGTGTTCATCTGAAGCCCTTCTAGGCATTACATATGTTCACATAAATTTAATATAATAAAATTTGACTTACCCGCCTAAATCGGAGCAGTGCGCTACTGTCAATACAAATTGACTGGATATTAAGACGCAACCGCATTTATAATCAGTTTCTGAATTATTAATCGTCTTACGCCAGCCAAGAACACACTAAAGAGAAAGAAGAGAAATTTTTTATATCAAGACTTGCTCTGCTTACACTTTCCTAATTATAATTACCATAAAAGGGAACTCGTTGTGGCGTGTGCTTAATCCAGCGACAATTTCTCTACGTGCAAAGACTTTCTTTTCAATAATTTCCTCCATGACCGGTTTTAAACAGTTCTCATTGTAATTCGTCATTACATTCAATTCTCTGCGATGACGATTACTACGATGTTTGATGTTGTTGTTATAAATAAGGGAACATTCTAAAATTTTCAAATGCAAATTTTTAATAATGAAATATCGGAAAATGTCGACTCGTTTTAATTACTCCTACCTCGTTCACTTAAGTGTTCTTGCGGACTTTGCGTAAAAACGGAGTAAGCCGGCAATGTTGACGATATTATATATGCTTCAGGACAACAAACAAAGTTGCTCGTTTCCAATCTACCATAATAACAGCTAAACGGCAATTGTTGATAGTGTGTCCACGCTTGTACCGCACTTCGACATTGTGGATAGCGTATGCAACGACCCCTTAAATTAACAGATTTCACATAGCAATTGCCTAAACTATCATATGTCATATAGTCCGCCGCCAAGATATTATTCCTCTGCAATTGTTCTAAATTTGAACGAAACTCAAATGCAAAATAAATAAAATCGAAAAGTGCTCTCAATAAAATAAATAATGCTCTGCGCATGATACACAGGTTTCTCTGTCGCTTTACCTTGACAAAAGGTTAATAAATTCACAAATAAATATAATTGAAATATTTCCTCGTGATAATGCATTTTTAAAATATGTTTTTTTTTTTTTGTTGTAGTTTGCGAAACGTGATCTTTATTGTTTGATATTAAATGATTGAATGATGTTAGGATTTATTACGAGAGAGCTAGTAGGCGCGCACGCGTATATTTTCCGCTTAATATTCGTTCTAAATGAAGTTTACATTTGAGTTATGAAATCAAGCCTTTCACCACCGGCGCTGACATTGCTGACGGTATGTTAAGGTACTTACTCCTCACCTCCAAAATATGCTTGGCATGATGTTGACATCTATTGTTCCATGAAATTCTTAGCTTTGCTGTATGCTTTCGTATATAATGACGATGCGCGATATATAATTCGCTTTGCGATTGTACCGTAGTGAGAATTATTTAAATAATAATCGTTAGTGCGATATTTTGCTTTTTTTTAAATCCATTGCCAAAGGATTGAGGTATAGACATTTTGTCGTAATGTTTGCAGCAACCAAGACGAAGCTTTATAGACTCTACGAAGTAAATATTGGGTATTCTTGATTTGCGAGAAATTCTGAATCGATTAAGCCTTGTCTGTCTGTCTGTCTGTGTGGCGTGTGCTCCTGTACTCCCCCAGTCGCAAAAATAAATGAATCGATCTTAAATTTGATAAAAACATTCAAAGTTCCTATGTTCCGGTTGGTATTTTAAATTGGCCAACTTGGTCAGACTGTACGGCTGCCGTAAAGCGTAAACCGCACGCAATCCCATTTTTCTGAGCGAAAATTTTAGAAGTTTTGCTCATTACTCACAAACTATGAAAGATGAAAAAAATTTTCTACATATGCTTTACGTAAAACTCTACTATTTTTGCATAAAAATGGAAAAATTCGGCCATGCCCATACAAAGTTACAAGTGACTTTCAACTTTCTTTTTTGTGGTCATAAGTCAAACAAGATGGAATATTTAAAACTATTTTGTACGTTCTTCAGAAGAAGATATATTATCTGTCTAAAAATGCGTTACCACACCGCAACGCGGTGGATTAATTTTTCTTACACAACGCGGTGGATTAATTTTTCTTACACAATACTTTGTAGTGAACTAAAAAGCGAAAGATAAATTTTATCCCATTCATCCCATTCATTTTTCTAAATACGGGTATAGGGCGCGAAGGATTTTAATGGCGATGGTGGGTACAAGAGATTCGTCCCCAGCCAAATATAACTTTCTTACTTGTTTTTTTTTTCATTTATTATAACAAGAATTACAGCAGTGCAAGCCGTTAATCGGACCAAAACTATATAAGAATAATAATTATAAGGTTCCAATGTGTCTCGCGAGATGATCAAGACTCTAAGGATAATCCATTCCAATATCGCGCCAATTTTACTACAAAAGATCGTTCAGAGGCTACCCAATGATTTCTAGGTAAATAGATTCGAAGATTACGCATAAAGCGTAAAAAACTAAATTTATGTCAAAATGGAAGAAGAAAATCTTTTTTTAACCACATTATCAAAAGTAGCTATCTTACGATATTTAATGCAATCTCTTGAAGGAACGTCCCAAAGAGTTGTTTTGGAAGAGGCAAATGTCACCTCAAGACAGTATAAGACAGGTGGCATAAGAAAAGCATGAGATCATTCTCAACGCACCATAGATCTTACCCAGTATTGAGTCAATATTCACTTGTTCTTCCTTTGATTGTCATTTTTCTTTTTCATTGTCGCGAAGAAGAAAAAAAATGTTGATAAATACGATCACCAAGCTAAGAAGTCACCATCTTAATCATGGCGTTTGAAGCCTTTCTGGATATATATTAAATTCCAGATTGAGGTTATGATCTTTTTTTCTAATTTCAGTTTTTAATTGTTGCTGTAATTTATTCCCCTTTGTTATGCTTGCAAAATGAACCAGTGCTGTTGCTAATGATCAATGTTTTCATAACAAGTAGTGATCACAAAATTCGAAAGCACTGCCTTTGAAATATATATGGCTAAGGTTGATTCAATTTGACTCAATATAATCGCATTCAATTCACGCAGAGCCCTAGTATCGCACTTTTGAACGAATCGAAGAGATTTTACATGCTCGTCGGATAGTGGACTTCTTTAAATAATTTTTCGATCGATTTGTTGATCATTTTTAAACTTATCTCTCCTCACACGATTTTATCCGATATTGCGATCATTTAATTGTAAAGAAATTACTCTTCAAACGTCTGAAAACTAAATCTCCTGAGAACTTTCGCTTTCGCATCTCTTGTTGCAGTTGACTCCTATTGTAAAAATCGTTACATTTTTCATATATTTCGCCATGGCAATGAAATGTTTTGCTAAATTAATTTATTTTATCGATAATTTTAAGAATCTTTTGTAGGAAAGATTAAAAAAAATGGCCCCTAAGGGTCGTAAGAAACGTAACAGTAAAGACTCAACTTCAAGTGTCACTGGCAGTGGAGATGGTGGGGAAGAGAAAAAACCTAAAGATATCGCAGGAAGAAAGAAAACTTCAAATACCAAATCATTCGGTTGCGATATATTCAATGACGCAGCTATGGAAAATGCTTACTATGTGTGTCACAATGTGCAGGTATCATTGTATCATATAAAAGATATGGAAAATAAAATAAAGAAATTAAAATTTATTAATTTGCTTAATGTTTAGGATGTGTTGAAATCTCGTGGCTTTGCTTGGCCGGACGGTCAGAAGAAGAAGAAAAAAGGCAAACGTTAAAACAATTCTTTTTTTCTTTTTTCTGTAAGAATACGAGTGTGTTTATGGAAAAATATGAAAATGTAAGCATATTATATTAAAAGAAATCATTGCATAGATGAAATGAATTTCAAGTAAAGGAATACCACGTTCAACCTTTTGATATTAAACAGAGAGGTCATGTCAAACTTGCGATGAATCTCGGAGATAATAATCATCTAAATGTGTGAACAATTTAAAGAGAGTGAGTTAAGAGTGTACGTTTTGGGAAGGACGATTCTTGAATACCGTACACTACATCCTTTTCATATTTGATACTAGCACTTACTCAGTTTCGCCTCAGTATTATTTTAGAGCTATTTTACACTTCGAATTTATTTCTTTGGCTAAATTAATTGTAGCAGTAACACTAACAAAAAATTGCAAGAAAAGGAGGATTTAGAGATTTGGAGCAATTTTCCAATACTTTTCATAAACCTTAGTGTGGTACTTGGAACACTCAAAAGAACTGCATACGCTTTTGAATGCAAAGTGGTAGGTGTGCTACACTTAACTTTGGAGGAATCTTTTTAATGTCAATATTTTAACATTTTTTTCTTGCAGAAAGTAATATTTTTTACTGGCCTCAAGTTGGGCCCCAGTTTTATTTAACGCAACAATATATTATATTAATAAAAAAAGCAGTCAAAAGCCCAGAAGATCGAGTGTATAATGGCACGTGTGATTTTAAAATTGCTTAGTTCGGCAGTAATACGGCGAGGGAGGGGAGTGGGGGGTTTCACCTTTTCTTCCCAACAAACACCTCACGGTCGGATATATTTTCTTACCCAACGGGCTGATGTTATGATCTTGGGTATTCTACACCTTGTCCTATCTATGCTAGTTTAGTTTAATTAAAGAAAATGTTGTTCTTATCTTCTAATGTTAACGTATCCGCCACAGAAGAAAGAAGTATTTTACTTAAAAACTCACTCTTTTGATTGCCTGGAAAGAAATTTTGAATTGTAACCCGACACAGAAATTAGGGTTGCATTCACCTTAGAACATCTTCCCGGGCACATATCGTCTTATTTAACAACAAGTCCATTTACCTTTTTTCCGTTGAAGGCGAGTTCATGTGGTTTTCTAATAATCAATTAATTGTAGAGCATAACGGCGACCTTTCATTTTAATTCACTTGTCGTACCCATACATTTTTTGTCTTAAAAATGTACCATTCACCGTCCCCGGAATTGCAGTTTTAAAAAATTTCATTATCCCTATAATTGCAACATCCTCTTAACTGTGTCTGTTCTTCAGCCCGAGGGTTATTATAAACCTTACAGTATAACTTACATTTTTTCGAAACAGGTACCGAAAGTTGCTTTAATTGAATCCCAATTTTGGTAAACTTTTATATAAATTGCAATAGTTTTTGCTGTGCATATCATGGATACTGATAAAGTGAAACGAGAAATGTCATAACATGACTTCAAAAGAAGCAAATAGGAAAATGATGTCTCAATGGAAACAGACGAGGACTGATCTTGTATCCATTTAAGTCAATTAAATATTACCCTATATAAATATAATGCACATATAAAACATGTATACATACATATATACACACGTACATACATATGCAAATAAGGTTGGCTGAAACTGGCCCAGCCTCAATGTTCCTCAATGTAAGCCGGATTATCAAAATGAGACTTCGCCGTTTGGGCTTACACTACTACTTTAAATATGTAATATTTGATATTTGGATATTATAAGTGCGTATGAAAATAGCGCCATATTCGAAATTGGAGTGGACTGAGAATCATAATTAAGATCACAAATACAGCGAAGAGCTGAGAAGATATTTGCGATTTAGTTAACAATATATATTAGTACGCAATAATATCATAAAATGCAAAAAAAAGAAAGAAAAAATTCTGATCACTTATATCCAATAACAGATGGGTAATAAAAGGGACATCTATGTATATACATATATATAAACTATTATTATTACAGTTTATTATTATTATTATTATTATTTTAATTTTAGACTAATGAATTGAATTCTTAGACTAAAAAAAAAAGACATTGAGCACTAGCAACACAGGCTATCGGCTCTAATTTAAAAAAAAAAGGATATTAGATAATAAGCTTAGTAGTATTAATAAAGTAAAATATTGAATTGATATTCTGTTCTGAAGTTGATTGTAGAATATTCAAAGGGTTAATCGTTCCAAATGCAATACTTCTAGCCAAGGAAAAGTTGGGGCAGTCGCAGAGAATGTGCTTTATAGTAAGAGTTTGTCCACAACAGCAGATTGGGGGAGAAGACTTCTTCAGGATCCATTGGTGAGTTGCAATTGTATGACCAAGGCGAATTCTCGAAAATGTTTGGATCTTGGTTTTCTCAATATTTGTTGGATATAGAGGTGGAGTTAATTGAGGGTTAATGCAAGAGTAGTGTTGATGATGGTATTGTAAATTTCCTTCTGCAATTTTCTCTTTAACTTTTCTTCCAATGTATCTTTGAAGATCCAACTTTTCCATGACATCATCCATAATTAGAGGAGCAGAAGCAGCATACTTTGCCGCTCGATCAGCCTGCTCATTTCCCAGTAAACCGATGTGACTTGGTACCCATAACATTTTAATTTTTCCGCCGGGTGTAGTAATTATATTCCTTAATTTGTTGATGGTGCTCCATCTCGAAGTCGAAGGGTTCCGGGTAGCTAGTAATACAGACAAACTGTCAGTAACAATGACGGTTTTGAGTTTGTTTTTATGGGCAAGGTTGGCAGCGTGAAGGATAGCTCTGGCTTCGGTTATGAAAGTTGAAGTGCTTTCGTGAAATATGTGGTTGAGAAGAACCCGTCCTGTAGCATCTACCACCGCACAAGCAGGAGGCAGACCAGGAGATTTTGAGCCATCTGTGTACAAAAGATTCCAACCAGTATTGTCCAATACTTGGGTTTTCTCAGCTATTAGATTCCTGAACACGTAATTTGGAGTATCTTCTTTCTTGTGCATAGACAGTGAGATGTCAAAAGAGCAGTCTTTCAAAATCCATGGAGCGGGAAATTTTTAAGGGAATGTTCAATTCCTTTGCGATGCACAAACAATGGTCAATTGCAGATGGTGACTTTGGAATTTTCTTCGCAATAATAATCTTTCTTACGTCATCACCGAGAATGGATTTGTTTGAATTAAGAAGCTTAGGGACTATTCTAGCTTTTAACTCATACAGTCTATTTTCTAAGGTTGGGAGACCAGTTTCAATTATAATATTATTTATGGGCGTCGTCCGAAAAGCATAACAACTTGCTCTAACGGCTTGGTGATAGACCGGTTTAAGGATGTTGATATTAGATTTGCAGCTATTGCCATAAATTATCAAAGCATAGTCAATCTTGCTTAACACAAGCATTTTGGTAAGATAAGCGATAGTGTTAATATGCGCATGGCTTCTCCAAGCAACGTACTGTATGAAATTTACCCTTGTTAAAAGGGAGTTTTTTAAACGAAGGCAGTGTGCTTTCCAACGATAATTGTTTGAGAAGGTGAGCCCGAGAACATGGAGCGTCTGCACATTTAGTACTGGTAAGCCGTTAATATGCGTCAGTAGGTTTCCTGCATCGCACATTTGTTTTCGACAAATGTGCATTTTTTTTGATTTTTGTATAGAGATTATAGCTCCTGACGAGTTTGCCCATGTGGAGATCTCACATGCAATAGATTCGAGGATGTTGATTGCTTTCGTGTTGTCTTTTTCTTTTGTAAAAATGTATACATCGTCCGCGTAGAGACAATGTTCCACTCTTGGTACACGGCAAAGAATTTCGCTAATTTCGTTGAAAGCTATCTGGAAAAGCGTGACAGAGAGAGGAGATCCTTGCGGAATGCCATTCTTTAGCGGAAAGGAATCAGAAAGATGATTGTTGATTCTAACTTTGAACCGCCGATGCGACATGAATGATTTGATGTAGTTGAAGAATTTGGGTCCAACATTCCATGATTTCAAGAGTCTTAAGATAACATGAAGACCAACTCTGTCAAATGCTTTTTCGAAATCAATTGAGAGAATTGTTACGTGATTTCGTTCGGAAATTGCTTTGCTTGTGAAATAATCAATATGTAACAGAGCGTCGATGCATCCTCTACCCCGCTTGAAACCAACTTGTTGCTTTGTTATCAGGTTCTTGGATTCAAGAAACCAAGATAATCTAGATGCCATAATCTTCTCTAAAACCTTTGAGAGGCAAGATAAAAGAGAAATTGGGCGATAATCAGATGCGATGGAGACATTTTTTGACTTTGGAATTGGAACAACTGTTGCCATTTTCCACATGTAGGGTATATGGCCAGTCATAAATACCGTATTATATAGGTCCAGTAATTTCTTTTTACTAGACTTAGACATAGCACTGATCATTTGGTATGAGATGAGGTCTAGACCAGGTGTCTTCCCCTTCAAATTGGAGAGACAACTTCCAAGTTCTGAGGTAGATACGCTATTTTCCAGGAACATGGCACATCTATCGATATTATTTGAAGGAGATATTGGAGTCCTTTTATTTTCAATGAAAGCACTGGAGAAGTTGCTGTCAGAGGAGTATTCGCACCACACTTTTCCAAAGTAATTAGAAATCTCATCTGCGTCATTACAGTTTATTTAAACCAAAGAAAATAAATTCAAGGTTTAAAAGTAAGATGAGCAGTAGCATCTGAGACTATAAACATATATGCATGCGTGTGCACGTGTGTATAAATTCTATATTAACCGCCATGCTTGATATCTATTATCAAAGTTTTCTCACGATGCGATATATAATACATGAAGAACGCCTTAAGGAATTGGTTCCCAATTATTGTATTTACTTCACCACGAAGAAAGTTTGAGCATAGGCCTTACAAATGACGTTTAATGCTTTTGATGACAAGAAGAAAAAAAAAAAAATATTGAAAACAATAAAAATTTATGAAAGTTTTCTTTTCTGAGAATCAGAAAAAAAAAGCAAAATAAAAATCATTTTTCAAAAAAAAAGTGAAAAAAAAACTCACGT